GAACATCTCATCGGCCACGAATTTCCGACGTGATAATATCTTTTTAAGCGTGTCTTGAGGAATCCCCCTTAATTTGTCTCTTCAGTTTTGTCCGGGGAAGCTTTTCTAAGTTTGTCCCGGGAGGTTTTTTTATAAGATATTCTAGACGAATCTCAAGGGCGACTTGAAAATTGGATGTTTTTTTTCTGGATTTGAAGAGAATCTTACGTTTTCTAAATATATTGCTGAAAGGAGGAATGGGTAAAAAAGAAAATCATTTACGCGTTTCACTTTTTTTTCTAAGCGATTGTTGTTAATTAAATTAATTTGTTGACAACTATTTTATGAATCGTGTTACCATATGAGGAATGGCGGGCAGTATGGCAGGATATAGAACCTGGTAAATATAAACACACACAAACACCTACTTGTATCTGCAAGAATCACTGCTGGCTCCACTTGTGATGAAGACGAAGTTAAATTTGCAGCAGCTGTGTAGAAATTAACAAATTTTATAGTTTCTGACCCGTTTGGATTTTTAACGAAATTACCTGCTAAGTGCACGTCACTAGCCCCAAATTCTGTTGCAAACCAGAAAGTTCGCGTAATTCGCATGAAAAAAACCAATAATTTTATTTCAATTCAATAAATTACATCAAATTCACGAGGCTCACTTGTCTTCCAAGAATCACGCAAATCCTACTACCAGCCAAAGTCGATCCTTTACCCATTCTTGCTTTTTGCACAAGTTGCCCTACGAAAACAAGTGGTCTGAATGATAGCTCTTTGCTAATAGAGATTACTCATTCGCAAAGCTACCGATGATGCTTTCTTACAGGAACTGTTTGAAAACAAGCTTATAGCGTTTCTGACTCTCTGGCGCGTGTCAGTCAAGAATAGCAAGATCACCGGACATCCTGTTTCAGTGATTTTGTTGGAATGCTTTCACATACCGAATGCAGCTATGTCAGGTCTTTCGATTCTCGACAACATACTTCTAACTAGTATTCGTCGTTCATTTGTCAGTCTCGTTGCAGTGTCGAGTTAAGACGTATATGACTTAATGGATCGAAATGCCTTATCTCACTCTGGCCTTCTCCTCCTTTCCGAATTCTGTCACACCTCCCCTACTTGCATTGCCAGGGTCATCCTAGCTGCTACACTTGGCTTAGCATCAGAGTGAACGAACGAATCGAAACAGGCCGAGCAATTAGCAGTTAAACTACAAACCACCAGCTAAACTACTACGAACTATCAGCGAAATAATACCGGTATCATGCATAGAAGCTGGCAGCATTCCAAAATGAATATTTGACAATCTCGAAATCCAAAGCACAACAAAAAACTGATGAAGACTACTCGCGAGATCATTTCTTCGAAAATATCACTCAACGCATATCCAGAAGAACTCGGGCTTTGCTCAACATCTCTAACTTCGTTTGCGTTACCGCGCTAAAACATCCATAACAAGTCTTCCTCGCCAAATCCCACTTTTGGCTTGATTTGACGAACTGCTGGCTTCGTCTGAAGCACATCCGCGATGCCTAATTATCTTTGAGGTTCCGCGTTTTCTGGCAAGTTCACCAATCGGTGTTTATCCTATCCAGTATAGTTTTGTCAACGATATGGTACTGCGTAAACAACATGTCTGTCCAATTTGGGTTCAATTTTGCCCATTCCTCTTTAATTCCTTCCATTTCCCTTTCCGCTTCATCAGTGCTGCCGGAGTACGGAAGTTCTATCTCGGACAGAATTCGTTTGCGCTCATCGGCAGTTGCTCCGCGAATTTGCCCGCCGCCACTGATACATCCCGAAGGACAAGCCATAATCTCCACATAACCATAGTTACACTTCGAACGCTTCAATTTTTGCACCTGATTCTGGATATGACGGAATCCGTAACACTTCAGCACTACAAGTACTGTTGTTTCACCGTCCACTACTTCGATGGTTTCCAAATTTCTGTCCCTGAAACGGAAGTTCCGGAGTAAAACTGATGTATTTTTGTGACAATTCTTGACAATTCGCATTCAGTAATTGTTTATAAAAATAATGTAGAATCATAGGTATTACATGGTACTAGTTAACAGTCGGTTGTTAAGTTTATTTGGAAATATTGGAGATTGAAAAATACGCATTTATGAAGAATGTAATAGTTTTAGCTGAGATTAAGACGTTTTGGTCCTACTTGAAACATAAATTTGTGGGGAAAAAAGGAGATCCCGGGAGAGCTGAACCTCTTTTGTGGTTACATCTCGTAATATCCAGACTTCCAGAAAGTCCAGGAAATTTACCAGTTTAATTTGATCTGTTGGCGTTTCATCCCAAGCACTTTCCGTGATCGAGCTCTCACATTTAGTAATCGTGCTGCGGATGATCATGGCTTCGTCTTCTTGCTACGTTAATAAACGAAGGGGAAGTCTTGTACCATTTGATGTACATCCCCCCTTCCATTCAATCCAGTGTGATCTTCATGTTTAAAAATTAGCAATCCTCCTATTCTCCCGCCATAGGCCGATCCAGGACGAACTCCTAGGGGAATAATGGGGGCAGAGGAGAATGGGGCTCATGGGAGGAGCGAAAAGGGGGGGGGGGGGGGGGGGGGGGGGGGGG